CCTTCCTGAAGTCTAAGTAAACGACGTCAACCCCTACTCCTGCGTCCAGGTGTTTTGTAACCTGGTCATAAAAAGAGACTAGATTAGTCAGGCATGATCTACCTGCTACGAACCCATGCTGGTTTCACCTCAGCATAATTTTTCCTGCCGGGCTCTCGCAAATGTGGGCCTTGATAATTTTTTCAAAGACTTTGCCAAGGATGGAGGTGAGACTGACTGGCCTATAGTTGCCTGGGTCCTCCTTCCTCCCCTTCTTGGAAATGGGGACCAGATATATTGAGGGTCCAGAGGAGGGCTACTCAGAGTTAAAGGCCTGAAAGTAAGGCCCTATGAGGAGAGATCGAGGGACCTGGATCTCTTCAGCCTCCAAGAGAAGGCTGAGAGGTGATCTTGTGGCAGTCTACAAATTCATTGGGGGCCAGGGGTGGAGGCAGCAAGGAATAGGAGATACTCTGTTTACCAGGCCACCCCTTGGGGTAGCTAGAAATAACGGCCACAAACTGACAGAGAGCAGATTTAGATTGGACATCAGGAAGAACTTCTTTATGGTAAGGTTACCAGAATCTGGAATCGGCTTCCAAGGGAGGGGGACCTCCCTACCGTGGAGGTATTTAAGAGGAGACTGGACAAGCACCTGTCTGGGGTCATCTGACCCCAGTGTTCTTTCCTGCCCAGGGCAGGGGGTCAGACTCAATGATCTCCCAAGATGCCTTCCGACCCTAAAAAATCTAAGCAATCTATACTGTAGTAATTGGGGAGTGTGTTTGGGGCAGGGAGGGGAAGGGGATGGTAAGTTCTTAAGGGAGTTAAGCACATAAAATCTGTATTTAAGCATATAAGTGCCCTGGCATTGTCAAAGGTGATGAACACTTGTAGTTTCTATTTACTTTAGTAGGAAGGGTTGCTATATGCTTCTGAAACAAGGTCACTTCTATTTAAATATTAAGTAACCTTAGGTACCTAATTGGGTATTTACTAGAGGTTTACATTTTTACCCTCCTTTGTTTGGAAGATGCCAATTCCAGACTTGTCATTAAAGGAAGTTTCCTGTACTGCTATGCAGAATCTTTCATAATTGACTAGCTTTACTTAATATATGTAACAGATCATGAAAGAAGATCAGTTTAGGGCATTGATTCTCAACCAGGGTGCTTTGAGCTCCTTTTAAAGCTGCTGTGCCATATTAACATGGTTAGGCATGCAAACAACTAAATGTTTCATAAGATACACTCAGAGACTTAAAATAGGAATGCATAGGGTCAACAACACTTTGGCTGGAACAATCGTTCTGAGTATTTTGCAACAGAAGAACTCTATTATTTTTCTGTAGTCTAAAACCAATGAAATCAGTTTTTGAAATGAGATGCTCCTAAGTTCAGAAAAGTAATGAGGGGTACCTTAAGTCTAAAAACGCTGAGAACCACTGGTTGAAGGGAAATGTGCACAGTGTAATCTTATTGTGCCTGCTTTTGCTGTCAACATCCCTGAAAATGTACCCAATGTAAAACTGTTCAGTCCTCACAAAGAGAAAGTATTTGAATAACATGAGGAGACCTGGAGGATAAGGTTTCCTCACAACCTGGAGGCCTGGACATACCCTTCAACCCAATCAGCTAGTATCTTAGCAGGGGTTAGTTCAAGGGTAAAATCATGGTCCCATTGAAGTCAATGGGTGTTATGCCACTGATTTTCACGGGGCCAGGATTATATTGCCTGGCTATGAAGACTGGGTCATGTGAGGTCCTTAATGCCAATTAGGATCAAGATCCATAAGCATTTTATACTAATGCCTAAATGCAGATGAAATAAATATGTTGACACTAACAGGGTGTCAAGTAAATAAATAAATAAATAAATGTTTGAAGATAACTTTTGTAACCCTGTAAAATGTCATTGGGCCATGAAGCTGATTTACACAAGCTGAGTATCTGGTTCATAAATCTGTCTCCTTGGAAATAAAGTAATGGAAGATTTTTGGCTTCTCTATCCTTCTATGTTCTACCTGCTGAATTTGTACAAGAAGATGCTATAATCACATTAGGAGTAGCAATATCTGTTTGTTTATAGCAGAAATTGATAGTCATTAATATATTCTTATTAATATATTTTTGAGCCTATTGCCACCTAAAGTGACCTAGTTTTTCATCTTAGTATGGGTGAGTGACAGATTGTAAATCAGTTCTGAACCTGTCTTTATGACTGCCAAAAAAAATAATCAACTTGGATTTTTAAAAATTAGTTAGCATTAAAACTGGCTGAGGGAGCCAAAATGAAGATATGAACAATTTCATAACAGATTTAACGCGTCTAACAGATCTATGGTATATTTCTCTTTACTAAGCTTCCTGACCAAAAATATAAACATTAAATGACAAAACAGTAAACTTCAAAGAACATATTTCATATAATTTCATAAGTCAAGTTCAAAGTTGAAAATCATTCTGCTTCTGCAGTAAAGTCTTAGGTAGGTCAAAAAATTCAGAAATTACTGGTGAACTACTCTGTAATAAAATAAATTACATTAGAATGACTTTGAATGAGAAGCTTCTAATGATTGACCATTATAGGATACAGCTGAGCTAACAGGAGGATACCAATGTAGCTTTTAAAATATAGTCCAAGAGACTCTGGTTTTTGCCATGTTAGTACCATGTCTAGCACAATGAGGTGCTAGTCCATGGCTAGTTCTCCTGGGAGTAAAATAATAAATAATTATTTTCTGTTGAAGTGGAGCCAGAGCTCTTTATCCTTATGGTTCTTTACAGTCTCTATGAACCTTTTCAATAACTTTTTGCATTCATATTTCCATTGCTGAGGTAGGTGGTAAAATGTATGGTTTGAGAGAGGTATCTATTTTTAATTGGTTTCAGTTTCAGCAGACTTTGATTTCACAGACTAAGTGCACTGTAGAGGCACCTAAAGTAGCTCAACTATAGGAAATTGTATAGCCAAAGCAGGATTGTGAACTAATTTACCCTTCTGAGAGAGAATGCATTAGCCCAGCATTCAGTAACATCAGTGGCAATGCGTAGGGGTTGCACGTGCATCCCCTGAGACTGCTGGCGCACCCTGTCAGCCAGTGTTCCCAGGCAGAGGGGCAGGTGAGAGCGCTGGTGCCCCCCTGAGAGCACCGGACGGAGAGTGGGGGCTCTCCCGGAAGTGCCAGCAGTGCACTGCTGCTACTTGTAGATCAGTGTGATTGGCTGCGGGGGGGACTCCCCTCAGCTGGTATGATCAGCTGCAGGGGACCCCTCCCCCTCAGTCAGTGGGATTGGCTGTGGGACTGGCCACCGAGGGGGCAAATGGCCCCCCTGACTCAGGAGATACCGGTCACCCATGAGCAACATTTTTCTGGTGGTGGGCTAGAATAATCCAGCTCAGGTTTGAGATGGGCTGGTGCTAGGACCCAGCCACCACTGATACCACTGCTGCTTCTCTCTGCTGTTTTTCCTCACTGCTTGGCTGTGGCACAGTGTGGGTGAAGTGTCCTACTACTGAACACCACCAAAGCCCCCTGGTTCTGAGTCAGAGCCAATGGCTCTGTGGATCATAGGTTGATGACCTCTCTGTTAGCCCACAAAGTTCTCCGTGTTCTGGTATGCAGAAAGCAGGCTCAGGTATTTCTTTACTGCGTTGCAATGTGCAGGTGTAGACATACCTGAAAATCCTTCCCCATTAAACTACCACCTCAGGAAAAGTAATAGACCAGATTTTAAAGGCATTTTGAAATGAACGGGAATTCATTTAAATGCTTTTTAAAAACCTGTTAGTGACTGGAAGGGTTTTGCTGTATTTATGCTAAAGGGCATCACACTCAATCTGTGGAACCATGGTGGGAGGCAAATTTCAAATCAGAAGGCTGGTTTAAGAACATCCTGACTTCAGGCATACAAATCAAGGACTGTTGATTTGTGGGTTCTAACTGACAGAGGTGGTCAAGGAGTAATTAGCTTTATATTACGAAGAAAAAGCTTTGAACTGTATGCAGAGTCTGTCTGGAAGGCAGTGCAGTCTGCTGAGGACAAATAACTGACTTATTAAACTGCACTAAGAGATAGGGCAGAATATACTTATCCATACTGATTTCTGAATGGTCTTCAGGTGTCGCCCATACTCCAGTCTGAAAAGTACATACACGACAAGAATAAAAATGGATTAGTATTTATTGTAGCTAATCTTCGATTCCTCCTTACAGTACACATAAGCAAAAGGATAGAGTGTAAAGCTATTTAGTTTAATTTTATTTCATAATGAAGCATGAGAGAATACTTTTGGAAAATGATTAAAGAGAACTCTGTTCTCTTATTGTGGTTTTGGAATAAGAAATGTAAATGGATTTTATATTAATACATGGAACAAGAGATGCATTTAAACTTTTTAAAGAAAGTGGTATGAAAATCAAGCTTAAAGGACAATCAGTTTTTGTTTTCGGTTTTGTACTTTAAATGTATGTGTTAATCTTGCTTTCCATGTTTCTCCCTTCAGATATTTGATTTTCTAATTAATGGTGATGAAACAGGCATTCCATCCTACAGTCAGAATGTTACAGGTTGTAGTAACTTCTTTAACATGCTACAGTGCCAGGTAAACTTTCATTATAATTCTGAAAACAATATTAAAAAATGCACAATTTAATTTAAACAGATGCCTGGGTCTTTATGTCACGAGTAGGAAATTGCCTGAATGTAGGAAAGGTATGAAGCTTAAGTTTACCCAAGCAGTTAAGTACATGCTTAACTATGCCTATACACATTGGCAACACGTATGGAGTGCATGCAGGTGCACGTGCACCCCCTGAGACTGGCCGTGCACCCCCTGGAAGTGCCAGTCATGAAACCGGAAGTGCCAACAGAAGTGCATTTCTGGTTTTGCCGCTGGTGGTTCTGGGCTCGGCGATCAGCCGCTGGGGGACCCCCGTCAGCAATCTGGTTCCCCACAAGATTCAGGAGGAACCAGTCGCCCATGCCTATACATGTAGTACTATAAGGCACCTATACACTAGGCCTGTGTGAATAGGGAAGTATTCAGTTCAGATTTGGCTGATTCGGAGGACAATGATTCTATCCGGAGATTTGGATCGGCTGAATCAGCTTTGGAAAATTTGGCACTGATTTGGAGAGATTTGGTGATATGGATTGGCCAGGGGGAGGCACGCAAAGCTGGGCAGCTGCAGTTCTCCCATGGCCCCTCTGGCTGTACCTGCCTCTCCTTGGGCGGGGGGAGCCACTGGAGAAGCCCCCATGGCTGCCATGCCCAGTTCTATCCCCATCCCCCGTCCAGCCCCAGCCTAGTCCCAGCACTTTAAAAAAAAAAAAAAAAAAAAAAAAAAAAAA